ATGTGCTATATTTCACTCTAATCCATTGATCGATCAGGTTTCATAGGAAAAAATCTCCTTCGGTCTTGTCAAACACATTCTGTAAAATGACTGACATTCTCCTACTGTAAAAATAAAATGAAATCAAATTGACGATTAATTTTGTTGGAATGAAATAGATTCACAGCGTTTCTGCCGGGTATTTATTGATATGATTAAGCGGGCACATCGTTTTTATTTATTAAAGAAAAGTTGCCCTTTACATCTATAAAAACAATGACTGATTAAAGCTAGTCACGACAAAGGCTGCTCTATAAAAAAAGTCATCTGCTGTTAGCATTGTCTTCCTAGGATCTCTGAAACACTTTGAATTACGTCCTCACAAAGACATGGGCTTGAGAAAAATATCGAACGATTCGTGTATAGATGATTAAAGAGAAATATATCGGTTAATATGACTTAATTTTCCTTTTTAAGCGCTTGAGAATGATTGCTTCCTTTAACATGTAACTCAAGTGCTCAATTCTAAGAAAAAGACAAAAAAAAAATCTAATTAGACTCACTTTTTTACGACAAGCAAAAAATGCAATGGTATATAGAGTTTGGATACATTGTTATTATACTGGTCTGTCCGTCTGTATGCCCCAAATCTCTTTTCTAAACTTCTCTTACATTTTAAACGGTAACCAACTCATCTTTGGGATCTGAATGGTACTCTATTACCTATAACATATGTATTCATATGCCATTGGTAAAGTATAGTCGAGAGTGTTTATATATTAATATAAAGTTAGTTTTCGGAATTTTATTTTTCACCCATGAGGAAAAAAAGGGTCCATACGACTTATTTCTTCAAATACCTGGTTCCCTGGTATTTCTTTTTACACATTATGAAATAACCAAATAATCTTTTGGTTTATGACTGGCGATGACAATAGATATGGGTTTTTAGTAATTTTATTTTAATTCGGGTAAAGTAGAGATTGTTACTAAATGAATATTTTTCCTACAAAACCTAATTATTCAATCTGCTCTGATATTTCTCGAAGAAGCCCATTCATAACTTATGACTTTTCAACTTTATACACAACCATTCCCCACGATATATTAAAGTCCATGCTTTTTGGTATCATTGACAGCTGATTTTCAATAAAAATGGAAGTAGTAAATTTACTTACCTTTTCGTTGGTCATTTGCAAAATTAATTTGTTAAAAACATTCTGATTGTACACACAAGTACTCTGAAGTTGACGAAAAAAAAAAATGCTTGTTTCTGATTGGCAATATCTATGTTGTTTTTGGAGACCAGGTCTTCCAACAATCTATTGGAATTCCCATCGGTACCAATTGCGCCCCGTTATAAGCAGACCTATTTTTGTATTCATATGAAGCAGGATTTGCACAAAATCTTATGCGTCAAAAGAAGAAACCACTTGCTGTGACCTTTAACTCGATATTTAGATTTATCGACGAGGTATTGTCAATTAACGTGGGTAATTTCCATTCGTATGTGGATGTGATATATCCCGGTGACTTTGAGATAAAAGATACCACAGCGTCTGACACAACTGTTTCATACTTGGATATTTAACTTGAAAAAGACGTTAATGGTAATCAAACAACCAAGCTCTATGATAAACGTGATGACTTTAACTTTTCAATTGTCAACTTCCCTTACTTATGCAGCAATATATACCTTCATCAACCGCATACGGAGTTTATATATATCTCAGTTGATACGAAACACAAGAGCATTCTCTACGCATGAACAATTTCTAAAATGAGGTAAGTTATTGATATGCAAGTTGATGAAACAAGAATATCAGCAGTCTCGTTTAAAGTCATCATTTCGTACGTTCTATGGTCGATACAATGACCTTGTGAGCAAATACAATTAAGCATTGAGTCAAATGCTGACTAACGCTTTTCATACTTAATGTTAGTCCATTATTTATACACTGAATTGACGACGGATTTTTTCGTTATTTCACGATCTTGACAAGGATTACAAGGCGATTGTAACCGGTCGGTAGGGATGCTCACTCCTCCATAGCACTTGATCTAACCTCTGGTGTTTTGAAGGTCCGTGTTTGATCTGCTCCTTTTTTGTATCGTTTTATGGATTTTTAATCTTGAATACTGCTCGTTACGTTTCATTAGAATATAATTGGAGAGTTCTGTGGATTTGTTTTTGGAATTTCACTTATCCCCTGGGGGCCCTTTGTGTCAAAAAAGTGATTGGAAGTGTCATGTAGATTTGCAGTAAAGTTTCCCAATTTTGATCTTCATTACAGGGGAGGATTGAGGACTCGAAAAAGGAACTTCCTTCCACAAAAGCCTTGTTCATTGTACATGTACCCCTTTTACATTTTTTGCCAAATCATCTTTTGGATGGTGACTGGTGGTGTCCAGTAGGCGAGCCAAAAAAGTTTCGGAATTGCGATTTTCACCATGAAGGCCAATGGAATGGGGGGAGGGAAACATTTTTTTTTATTTATTCAAATGTCATTTAACATAATCCAGGTTCCATAAACTCTTCTTTCAATTTTTGCACAGTAGGACATATTTTGGAATAAGTATTAAAACTTTAATCTGGGGGGGATTGGACTTGGTGGTTAAAAACGGAATATTTGTTAAAAAAATTGTAAATGTTGTTGCGTCTATAATGACAGAATCTAGTTTTTATTCAAAAAAAGACCTTGAAAAACTATGCAAAATAAATATCCTCGTCAATGAAAAATATTGGTTTTCGGATTATTTTCAAGTCTTACTTGGAGTATGATTACAATAACTATAGAAGAGACTGAAGGAAACATAATTTAAGATAAGTATTTAATTCTAAAGAATGCCATATTCAAGCCTTGTGTAAAAAGGGCCCAAGGAGAGATTCATTGTTGAACACCATTTCTTTGTTACACTGGAATATTATTGTTAGAACTTTTACATTAAATTTATATAATTCATAAAATTTATCTATTAAATAGATATCAATCTTTACAACAATATATGTGAAACTGAATTACGTTTTGTAATGACGTATGTTAAAAAGGTAAACTTATAAGAGTCAAAACTGAAATGATAAAAAATGCTTCTCCTTTAAGTTGAAGAGCAGAAGCAGTTTCTTTACTAAGGAAAGTTTTTTTTGCCATTTCTTTAAGAACATAACATAATTTTTCTAAGAAGATTGCTAATGAAAATGCATTACTTTTTCTTAAGAAAACTTGTTTTAGAATAAGTATATTATTTTGATAAAAAGTGTAGATTTCTTTTTAAAAAAATAGCATCAAATTTATTCTACTACACATGAAAGCAATATTTTGTAATTTTCACTTTTTTAAAAAGTTATTTGATGTAGAGTTCTAAATTGAATTTTTAGCTTTAAAAAATAGATTACGTTAAAACGCTCCAACTTCTTCAAAAGATTATTGTATCTATTGTATACTCGAGATTTATAGACCGTTTTCATATTATCTTTCATATCATTTGATGATATTGCTTAGGTTTCCCTTTAATGGCCCAATTTCATAACTTACAATAATAATATTTGGGCTTTTATCAATTTATATAGCAACAGTATTGAAGCTCAAATTATCCATTTAACAATAAAAATAGCAAAACAAACACGGATATCTAAAATATCAGATGTGGACCAGGTGCCGTTGAGGAGTGAGGATGCCGACCGGTCATACCCGACTTGTGTTCGTTGTCATGATCGGGAAAATCCATCGATAATTTAGTGTGTAATAATTGGCTGATAATAAGTATAAAAATATCAGCTAGCATTAAATTGATTTAATGATAGATTGTATTCGCCGACAAGTTCTTTGTATCGACTACCAGAATGATTGCTTTATATGAGACTGTTGATATTCTTGTTTCATCAACTTGTTTGTCAATAACTTCCAATGTACATCGTTTTAGAAATTGTTCATACGCAGAGCATCTTCTTGCGTATGGAATATACTGAGAGAAAAAAAGCTGCAGATGATTAGGGTATATTGCTGCATAAATAAAGGAAGTTGACGATTAAAAAGTCAAATATTTCCTAATTGCAAATATAACTGAATTTAAAATGAAATAAGACAAGCTGAAATGAAAAAAATATTATAATTTTAGTTTCTTTTTCAATGCTTAACTTTAAGTAGTACGTTTCAAAAGCAAATATATGCAAATAAATATGAAGTCAAGAGATTACATTGCACAAAGCATTCTTACAAATAATCTTTGAATGCCGAAATCTTACAAAAACTTTATTAGGCAAATCAAAGAAATTGGATAAAATTTAGGATTTTGTTTAGATATATCGACGTTTTTAGTATTTTTCCTACCTAAAAAAATGGACGAAATATTTCATCCTATGAATACATATACATAGTTTGATCTGCACATAAATGCGAGAGAATTATCAAGTAAAATTTTACAATTTATGGGTACAGAGTTGTGACGTCACTTTTTTGTCAAATTGCTTCTTATCCCTCGAGGACAGAAAGCTGATAATTCAGTTTAATCTAATTGTAAGCTGTTAACCATCCCTGCTTCTTAATGTCCAATGCTTGGCCCATAACCCGATAATAAATGTTCTAGCAAATTGTTGAGAGTATGTCTAAAAATAAACCCTTGTCTCATGCAGTTCTTCAGTTCATTAACTTCTAAGACATTTTACGATAATTAAGCATTACCACTGAATAATTAATAGAAAATTCGAGATAAAAACAATACACTTTATCTTGGAGTTTAAAGAGTTTAATATTAAGGAAGAATTTGCAATGGGTATGGTCGGTCGACAGTAGAATCTTACTAACCCCTTGGCTCTAGATCCCACTGACTCTAATATTTTCAGAGATCCTTGCTGCTTTTGCGTTCACTTGGATTTTGAGTATGATTACAGATTTTTGGCTTTTAACCTTTGAACTTTTACCTCGCTTATGGCCTCTCTCAAATCAGATTAATAATAATATAATCAAATTAATATATAAAAAAAGTTGTGTCCTTTCACTCAAATTTAATGATTATAGTCTCTGTATATAATGAAAATAAATTACATGGAAATGTTATGAAATAAAATCAAATAACAAAACTAAGTAAAATGCAGACATATTCGAGATCATTTATCAGTACTTATTTCACATTTACCACATTCTACATGTACATTTAGCCCAATATTTCAAATATATAAAATGTTTGTCTTTTTCTATTAGGAAATTTAGATATGCAAAATAACAGTTTTATATCCCATTCTCTACAAGTTTTAAGAAACCTTGGGACGCTGTTATAGTCTGATTTTCTAGGTACTTTTGACTATTTTCCTCTGTGTTTTCCAGATAATAGCGGTAATTGACCATCATTCCGCATGACTGGTTGATCCCACGCATTGACATGTCTGCTTTCCAGTTCAAACGCCATAAAACTGCCCCGTTACCAAGATGGAAGTTAGCTAGAAATTAATAAACGCAGTGTCAAATGTAGAAAATTAATGAAGGTTGTAATATTCATTCTTCTCAGAAAATTTTTAATATATGTCAAAAAAAACATCTGTCATCAGATAGAAACCGACAACACACTTTTATGAATTGACAACCCATAAAATAATCAATCAATAAATGAATAAGAACAGTCACGAAGCATTTTCAGATCTATGGTTAAAAATTACAGAAATGAATTTCAAAAGTATTACTAGTATTAAAAAGGTTTAAGAAAAAATCATGAATATTACGCGATCTCATAAATTTAATATAGTTAACACAATTAATTTACATACCCACGGGGTTCAAGGCGAATCCTCTTCTCTTTTCAATAAATAAATAGCGTCCACACAGCCTTAATAAAATTCCTTTAATTATTTCAGAAATACTTTCATTTTGAATCCATCCGTGGGTTTGGATTAAATCTTTTAATGTCTTAAGAACACTATGGTCTGGAACAGAAAGTGCATTTTTCATCATCTCGATTTCTTTTTCTAAAAGAAGCTCTGGATGTTGTTCTCCTATTTCTGTTCGAAAACGAATAAAAGAAAAATCATTAAGCGTTCATTTTCAATACACTGAAAACTATAAACTGAACATGTTCACTACAGTCAAGTAATCGCTATATTCACCCATTTCCAATCACGATAATAATTTTCAAAAGAAATTTTTAGTACTAATTTTTATCTTTATCATACTTGCAGAGTAATGTTGACAGTTTTCATAAATAATAGTAATTTCCCGAAAGTGAGAGATATTTCTGTTATCAAAGCGTCAATGAACCTTACATGTTAATGTACTTCATTAATAAAAGTTAATAGGGCCTACCCAATTATGAAAGGACTACTAATGATGAATACCTTGCATGTGTATTATCCTGTTTATCTCTGTAATTAGCCACGTCTTGAAGCCCGGGATAGGAGACAGGCTAGAAAATTGTGTAATGCCCTTAAATTCGTTCTGCACTTCCTTGACAACCGTCTTTATCAGGTAGTTACCTAGGTCGACTCCCTGGAGACCTAAAAAAATCAGGTTAATTTCATCATTCCAAACTGACCTGATATTTAATTAAATGAGATGAGCTAAAGGGCTGCTGACTAATAAGGATGCGAGGCATCGAAAGTCTGTCAAGATGCGTCTAGTTCAAAAGGCATTTTTCACTGACGGAGACATTAATTCATCGGAAAATAAGACATCGTAAGTCAACTTAATTAAATCTGTTAGCTATTGAATTGTTGATCCTTGTGAATATAGAGCTTTCACCTTCAAGTAACTATTTACTAGACTGAATGGAAAAGAACTCCCAGTCTATAATGAGTCTGTTTAACGTAATGCTAAGACTGAGTAGCAATTAAACAGAATACATTATTTTATTTTTAGTAACCATGATCCTTCAAATTTAAATTCTCGATAAACAAAATAATAAATCTTAAACTGTAGTCAATTTTCATGCCTATTATCGAAATATTACCGAACCTTACAGAAAAAAAAATGATTATTTTTTTTTTGCAAGAGTGCTATTGATAAAGATATTGTAAAAAAATCAATAATGGAAAAGTTAACGAGTATTTCAAATTATATCTATATTCGAAAAAAAATCCTATATATAATTGATATTTTGAAATAATTAAATAGACTCTTCTATTTTGTAATAATTTACAGATTATCTTATTTAAACAGAACGACTTCAACGGGGGAAGATAAGCTTAACTGAAGTGGATAATTTCGCAAAATCTGCTGGTGTGTAAATTCTTGAAATCAGAACTGCATATTATAAATCATAATACATTAATTTGGATAAGTTGTTTTGTGTTGAAGTGATAGAGTAAAATATAGCTGCCGATATTGTCTGATTACCTTTTTGTGTTGAAGTGATAGAATAAAATATAGCTGCCGAAATTGTATGATTACCTTTTTGTGTTGAAGTGATAGAGTAAAATATAGCTGCCGATATTGTATGATTTACCTTTTTGTGTTGAAGTGTGAAAGAATAAAATATAGCTGCGTCGATATTGTATGAGAAATTACCTTTTAGTGTTGAAGTGATATACAGTAAAATATAGCTGCCAATATTTTTTATGATTTACCTTTTTGTGTTGAATTGATAGAGTAAAATATATCTGCCGATATTGTATGATTTACCTTTTTGCGTTGAAGTGATAGAGTAAAATAAAGCTGCTGATATTGTATGATTTACCTTTATGTGTTGAAGAGATAAGCATATTGCCAATATATCGATATTACAAAATCGTAGCTGTAATACGATATTGTAAGATTGTATTGCTATATTGAAATATCTACGTTGAAGTGATAGAGTAAAATATAGCTGCCGATATTGTATGATTTACCTTTTTGTGTTGAAGTGATAGAGTAAAATATAGCTGCCGATATTTTATGAATTACCTTTCTGTGTTGAAGTGATAGAGTAAAATATAGCTGCCGATATTGTATGATTTACCTTTTTGTGTTGAAGTGATAGAGTAAAATATAGCTGCCGATATTGTATGATTTACCTTTTTGTGTTGAAGTGATAGAGTAAAATATAGCTGCCGATATTGTATGATTACCTTTTTGTGTTGAAGTGATAGAATAAAATATAGCTGCCGAAATTGTATGATTACCTTTCTGTGTTGAAGTGATAGAGTAAAATATAGCTGCCGATATTGTATGATTTACCTTTTTGTGTTGAAGTGATAGAGTAAAATATAGCTGCCAATATTGTATGATTTACCTTCCTATGTTGAAGTGATAGAGTAAACTATAGCTGCCGATATTGAATGATTTACCTTTTTATGTTGAAGTGATAGAGTAAAATATAGCTGCCGATATTGTATGATTTACCTTCCTATGTTGAAGTGATAGAGTAAACTATAGCTGCCGATATTGTATGATTTACCTTTTTGTGTTGAAGTGATAGAGTAAAATGTAGCTGCCGATATTGTATTAATTACCTTTCTGTGTTGAAGTGATAGAGTAAAATGTAGCTGCCGATATTTTATTAATTACCTTTCTGTGTTGAAGTGATAGAGTAAAATGTAGCTGCCGATATTTTATTAATTACCTTTCTGTGTTGAAGTGATAGAGTAAAATGTAGCTGCCAATATTTTATTAATTACCTTTCTGTGTTGAAGTGATAGAGTAAAATGTAGCTGCCGATATTTTAAATTTTTGTGTGGATGTGACAGAGTAAAACATAGCTGCCGATATTTTACCTTTTTGTGTTGAAGTGATGCAGTAAAACATAGCTGCCGATATTGTATGAATTACTTTTTGTTCTTGAAAGTTATAAGTAAAATATAGCTTTTTATACAATATTGTATGAATTACTTTTTGTGTTGAAGTGATAGAGTAAAATATAGCTGCCGATATTGTATGATTTACCTTTCCGTGTTGAAGTGATAGAGTAAACTATAGCTGCCGATATTGTATGATTTACCTTTTTGTGTTGAAGTAATAGAATAAAATATAGCTGCCGATATTGTATGATTTACCTTTTTGTGTTGAGGTGATAGAATAAAATATAGCTGCCGATATTGTATGATTTACTTTTCTGTGTTGAAGTGATAGAGTAAACTATAGCTGCCGATATTGTATGATTTACCTTTTTGTGTTGAAGTGATAGAGTAAAATATAGCTGCCGATATTTTATTAGGATCCTCCTTTTCGTCCACATCTCCATCGTTCGAAGAATCAGTTTCTATTTTTGATCCCGAGAAAGTAGGCGTTTTCAATATTGACTGTAAAAACAAAAGATTGAAAAGCTGTCGTCACCTTTTTATCTTCTTACTGTCAGAGTAATTGTTATCTTTCATCAAAACATTCTTTTTCCGTCTATATATTCACTATCTTTGCAAACAAAAGCAATTCGGAAATAAACTATCGTTTACAAAATAAATTACTGGAACGTATTGTTAGTTTCCTTGGAAAGGGCGGATTGGGAGTTCCAAGAAAAAAGCTATTCAATTTGTCTGTATGTCTTCATACGGTAGAGTAACTCCGAAGCTTTTGTAAACAGGCAGATGACATTTAAGGACAGATGATACAAACAGATATTGGTTGCCTAGTTTGGTATTTATTTTTGGAGCCAAATTTTGTTGCAAATGATGCAAATGCTAATAAATTAGGAAATTGTTAACCTACTATGAGCCTCAAGATTTTATCTTTCGGCAACCATCCTTTGTAATCTATACTTTTTTCTAATCCAAATCTCATTATTAAGTGTTTCATTTCAGTCACAAAAAAGAATTAGTCTGTTAAATTTTTGATAATAAAAATCTAATGTTTAAAGAATATATATAAATCTGAAATCCTACTTTAATTGTACCGTTTCTCAATAAGATGCACAAGGGCTAAAATATTGAATCTTTTTCTCTGATGAAAGAACTAAACAGCAGTTCTTAAAATTAGCTTATTTGTAAATTCTAAATATACACACACTTCTTAGCAGAAAGTACATTCTATTCAATTGTCAGGGAAAGAAACCTCTCTTTCCTTAAAGAGGGGTGTACTTTTTTTAACCTAGGAATATGTTCTTTCTTCAAACCTTCGTAACTGTCTATTCTCTCAATTACTGAACGCCCCCCCCCCCCCCCAAAAAAAAAAGAAAGAAAAAAAGAAAATTCGACACATAATCAAATGCGTTAACAATTTATGCCTTATGGAGGTCATCATGTTATGTTATATTTTAAATATAATTGAAAACGGCTTTTTGAAATAAATTATTTGTAGTGATAACAAAAGTGAAAACAAAAAAGTGATTAATGTCTCCAAAAATCTAAAAATAAAATAATATAAATAGAAATCTGTGTACACTGCACATGACATGGAAGCCCGAAAATTCAAGAAGTGGGAACAGGTTCCTCGGAAGAGTAAGAATCTAATGACTTCCCTAAGTCAAATGTATCAATCGGGTAATTGGAATAATATATAATCAAAGTTACCTTGAAATACAAGTACCTAATATCTGGTAAGGAAAAATATCAGTCAAAATCAAAGCAAATATATGGTTGTAATTACTAGCACGGTCATTATAATGATACAAAATATAGGAAATTACTCCAAGGTTTGCAAAATTCCTGCAATATCAACCTATTTGCCAATAGCGTGTTTTGGTTTAAAAATTGATTGAAGACAAAGCATGCTCTTGAATATCAATAAGCTGGGAGACTTATACACCATTATGAAGTTGATTGTAGAATAATGTTTCATAAAAAGGAAAGTTGACGATAGCAAAGCTGCAGTCATTTCATTTGTTAAACAGTGTAACATTAGTTGTTAGTTGGCCCTTATCATCTAAAACATCAAAATTAAAACAAATAAAAAAGACTCTTTGGTGTCTTTTACTTTGACATTTCGAGTTCGAGCTCACTTAGATGTATTGAGTCGATATATAAATGAAATTAACTATTGCTGGTTGAGAAAACGTTGTTGGTCTAAGTGGATGTTGATGGTGCAAATGTGAAAGCCATAGCAAGCGTTTTCTTAATCTCAATGGAATATTACAATAGATTATACTTAAAGACTAACAAGAATATTGTTAAATATTGTCAAAGTACTTACATGAATGCTACTAGAAATGCTATTGGTGAGTGCCGTATGTAGGACAACAACAGGTTCCCCCGGCATACTGCGGTGAGTGAACACAAAACAACGGCGGTATGATCCCACACGACGCTTCAGGTCGTTCATATCCCGTATAGGATGGACTGCCTCATACATAGAAATCTAAAATCAAAAAAAGGATTTTAAAATTTAACATTCCGAAATATACGAATTATGTTTTAGACGGGTAGGAAAAGATAAAAAAAAATAAAAATTAAGGCAGGTTTTTTTCTCAGCTTATTAAATTTCATCATAATGCTATTTCATCATCTTAAAGTCACATCCTCTGTTTAAGTTTACTTGCTGAAGAATAAAATAAATGAATCCAACATTAATGCTACAAGTACAAAATTTCTGTTAAGTGATATTCGGTGATTATGTTAAAAAAACAGTCAGTAGGAATGAGATAAATATTTTAAAGCTATTTCTTTTTTTTAAATTTCTAAATTATGAACTCTAAAATTACCTAGTAAAACATATTTAATTTTTAAGTACACATTTGTGCACAATTTTGCTTCTATTAAAATATAACATATTGTTCAGGAGCAAAGAATGAGAACTCTTGAAAAAATATCAATTTTCATATTCATCTAAGCGATATTTCGTGATTGTGATTTAAATATTTGTTAGAAGGCAGTAAATTTTTCCTCCAAGTCCAAGTTAAGGTTGTAAACCCTGAAAACTTCAACAATTGAGAATGTATAAGCGCAATGGGAAAACAAATTTTGAAAATGCACTTCGAGAAAGATGGAAATTCTACTTGTACTTACTTGTATGTGAGATCAGAACAAAGTGTAAACATTGACAAATTAAAAACATCAAGAAATTTCTATACCAAATGAATTTGTATTCCTTTTCATGAGCGGGAAATAACGAAAAAATCCGTCGACAAGTCAGTGTGTAAATAATGGCCTAACAAGAAGTTTGAAAAAAAGTCAGTCAGCATTTGACTTAAAGATGAATTGCATTTGCTGAAAAGGTCAATGATTGACCATAGGAATGATGGATTTAAATGAAAGTGATGATATTCATATTCAACTTGATTGTCTTGTCGGTAACTTACCTCGTTTTAAAAAATTGTTCATACTTAGAATATGCTCTTGCGTGTCGAATCAACTGAGAGATACAAACTCCAGTGTGCAGATGATAAGGGCTCATTGCTGCATGCGTAAAGGAAGTTGACGATTGAAAAATCAAAGTCATCACGTTTAATATGAAGCTTTATTTAAAGTAAAGATTCTTTACTAATTTCATTTTATAGCTCGAACTTAAATTTATCGTGGGGAAGGGTTGTGTATCAATTTCTTCCAAAAATTTCACTGAAATTTTTAAGCATCTAAATCTGATTTGCACTACTTCTCGAATATATTGTTGCACAGTATTCCTGAGTTTTCTTCTTCACTACCGTTAAAAATTATTGCGGAGAAAAGAGACTTGGTAAAACATTTTCTGGAACTTGCTTTGTATCTTTGTAAGGATTTTTATTAAGTTTGGAATCCAATATAGATATGGTAATTCAAATTCATTTTGGTTGTTGGGGCTATTACATATACATGTATTCAAATCAGACATATGATTTTGAAAAATTTCCTCCTTAGAAATGGGGCTATAGGCATTAGTTAGATAACCACCTGTAGCATTAAATTCGAGTTCCTCTAAATTAGAACTTAAAAAAGAGCCTTACAAGCAAAGACCATGTTGTTACCTGCTTTTTCAGCTGGTATAAAATTTATAGTTTTATTAAGATTTTTGTTAACCTTTTGAACCATATCACATGGGCTCTGCCACGTGATTCTCTGGAGATGAAGGAAGCCAACAGAAAACCATAGAGCCAGGAGGTCTCTGATTGTCTGCTGTAGAATGCGCATGTGCGCCTTGTACTCCTCACTCTGAGCGCCTGGCAAGTGCGTCTGAAATAATTCATTGAATCAAAAACATTTTTGTTGGTGTCAGTCTTTATGATAAAATATTTGTATTTTCATGTTTATCTTTCGTTTTTTTTTTGTTCCACATTTAAAATCATTCATGAGTTCAAATTATAATTCAATACATGATTAACAATGTAAAGGATGTGAGAATTCTCAATGAATCTCCCAAGATTCTACTATTTTAAATTTTCTGAACGAATTAAAGTACATGCCTAAAAAAACGTTTAATTTTTTTAAAAGAAAATTACCAGAATATCTGCGCGCATGTCGACCAAGAACTTCACTCCACCTTCAATTCTCCCAATCTTACTGAACAGTTGCTGGTACTGTGGGATTAATGTGTGACGTAATCGTTCCTCAGTCATGAGTAATAGAGCTTCTCTCTCCTAATGATTGAAATAAAAGTAGTTTAAACATAGATTATGTTGCAGCATCTTTTTTTTTTAAACAAATTGTTTAAAGTTTTGGATTTTAATATTTCACTATTTACTTTTCTGAAAAGTAAAGATCGTGAGATCAATCTGGTTCCTAAAGAATTAAACCCCAAATCATTCAGATAAAAACCCCGTATTAATAAATCTAATACGCAAAGATGGTGCCAGTTATGTAAAAGACTACCATTGTGATACTTTGAAAAATCAATTTTCCCATTAAAAAAAAATTTCACATATACGATTCTAAGCAATTAGAATGAAAACAAAATCAGAACAAATTTCATGATAAAGAACAAGTGTAAAATTTGGATAACAACACAAGATATGATTGATAGATTGTATGTTGTTTTGCGTCGCATTCGAGAGTATTTCACTCATATAGATCAAGACACATAAAAATAAGAAAAAAATAGTACAAATAGGAAATTTAAAAAGTTTAATTAACCATATGACGTTTCTATGACGTTTGTAAAAATTTCATTCCCATTATTCACTTAATAATAGCTGGATGTAGCCCATTTACCTGTGCATTAACAACACTCGTAGCCACCTGGACAACATTGCTTTGATTGACACCGTACTGTTTGGCAAGAACCGTCAAAAAACTGATTCTGTCATCTGCAGACAATCCCGTGTAGTGATCACAAAATCGCCGGCATTTAGACTGAAAACATTAAAGAAAAATGTGTAAGATAATCAACGATAGTTCTGAAGGAAAAAAAAACGTTTTATATTTATTAAGCATTTTTTTAGTTGCAAGTCAAACGAAAAAAGAATGCAAATATCAATCTATGCATTAAAAACGTTCAGAACACTAAAATTGCATTATAATAGCCTTTATGTGCTCATATCTGATATCCATATGTTATTAACTTTTGTGATCAATAAAAGAAAACAACATTTTTTATTTAGAAATAAAATAGCGAAAAAAATAATATGTTTAATTGTATACTAGAACATTTGTCGATACCCGAAGCCAAATTCGCAACAACGCAATAAAGTTATATTTAAACGTACCGAGAAAATTAAATACATATTATTCTGAATGCTTCCTCGTTCTTCATTCTGATTAGTAATTGCTTAATTAAACTTTACTTTCAACTGCATATAAAAAGCTTGGCCTTTTGAAAAAGCTCAAATTCACTCTTGGACGAAACACTCTTTAAAATCTATTGTGAAAGAAACGTTGTTAAATCAATTTTTACAAGACTGGCATATGAACATAGCAAATTCATCTAAATGTTTAAATTACAGGATTTTCAAAAACAATTTTGGAAAAGAAATGTACTTAAATAAACTCCCAAAAGACTTAAGAATTTTATCAACAAAATTTAGAACTTGTAACCACAAACTTCCAGTCGAATCTGGTAGATGGACTAATACTGATAGATCTTTAAAATTATGTAATTTATGTAGCAAAAATACTTTGGGGGATGAATTTCATTATGTAATGGAATGTCCATATTTTTCGACTTTACGGGTAAAACTTATTGATAAGAAGTATTGTTCGCATGTAAACACTTATAAATTTGAAAAAAATATGTCCATCACAAATGTTGACTCGCTGTCTTTGTTTGCTAAAAAGATATTGGCCTGCTTTTAGTAACTGTTTATTTGATACTACTCTTCCTTACTTGACTTTGTATTTTGTATATTTATATGTAAATATGTTCCTGTACCTCATACACCATTGTATGGTCTGAGTGTAAATAAACAAACAAACAAAAACAAATTGAAGATGTATCCCATTTCTTTTTTGCATGTAAAAAATATGAGCGGCCAAAAAATTGCCTCTTAAAAAATATATTTTTACAATACAATCACTTGACAATAGTCAACTCCCATCTTTTATTTTTAGAAAATGATTCATTGGCTGTTGATGTGAATAATGAAATATTTCACGGTATCAAAAGTTCATTCGTGATTCATGTAGATTTTGATCTCCTTTTCTTTTTCTCTGACATTTGATTATATATGTACAACTTTGAGTGTTTATAACGTGAGAACTTTACTTGCGATCATGTTAATTATATGTCAGATATTTTTCTTTTTCAAGCATTGTTGTCATTGTAATCATTTACAAGTATCATTATACATTTACACATTGTAAGAACTCTGAACCTTTATCAAGTGTCTTTGAAATATTTTGTATATACATCATGTATATGTATAATTTTACATCTTCATTTATTAATAATTATTTTTGCAATCGCTATTATAATAATTATAATTATTGTATATATTAAAGGGAAAGGTTTTTTCTAAGTTGTAAGAACTTGTTACTAATCCCTTTGTATGAATTAAACAATAAAATATGTTCAAAACAAATTGCTTCAAAATTATAGCAACTTTTATTTTTGTCTCTCTCTCTCTTTTTTTTTTTAAAGAATAAATAGATAAGAAAGGGTTTGCTTTGCAATTCCGCATTTATACATAAGCCTATCAGCATGGTCGGATGCTGAATAGATCTAGACTTGTATAAATTTTTTTTTAGCAAAAATTATCTACAGCAAACAAAACTACATTTCGATTCGGGATATAATCCCTTTAATTGATCTTTAAATATTAAATTTAAATTTCTTTCTTATGATCGTGGATTTTACGAAAATACATGTAACTGGTGATAAAAGAAGAAAAGAAGGTTCTTGTAAGAATGACTTACAAAAAAATGTTCATACCTAAATTATGCAATATTTAGAAACTATTTCATTGTTTATTATTTTGTTTTATAATTTTTTCTTATCTGTAAGGTTTAAACCATGTACATGTAATTGCAACGATATCAAGAATGTAATAATGTAGATGTAACAAGATGTAACAATCGAACATTTCAAAATTTTGTTTTGTATGTAACTAATATAAATGTTGTAAGATTTAGAAAAGCTGACAAAATATGTCAATCTGTATAACCAACATCAAAAATCGATTCCATTTTATTGTAGAAATTGTGCAATCTATTCTTGGAAGAGGGAGGACGTACCTTTCATTTAATGACACAGTAACTGAATAAAGATATTATCTCAACATGTTGTTCGACTTGCTTTATTTCAAAATAACGACCGTGAAATTTAAATAGAAAAATTTTTAATGAAGTATTCCAACAAGATTTCCTCTTTGATTTCGAAGAATTAATTTAAATCGCTCTGATTTTTCTTCTTTTCTGCGTTTTAAGAAAAAATCCGTGTCTAGGACGGTACCTTCTTTAAAGATTTTTACAATGGGGCATATAACATTACAAATAAAACATCATTTTTATCATAGGATATCCCCTGTTGTTAACTACACCGAAAATGTCCCTTTATGTTTAGTCTATCGCTGTAATCAAAAACAAAATGCATAAAATCAAATAAAGAAATAAAAGGTAACTTTTGTAAAAAGCAGACATCTCTATCATTACAACCTGTAATCAAAAACAAAATGCATAAAATCTAATGAAGAAATAAAAGGTAACTTTTGTAAAAAGCAGACATCTCTATCATTACAACCTGTAATCAAAAACAAAATGCATAAAATCTAATGAAGAAATAAAAGGTAACTTTTGTAAAAAGCAGACATCTCTATCATTACAACCTTGTGTATGTACGGGAAGGACTTCACACAGACGTATTAAAGAAGTTAATTCGGAAACCAAATATGATATCGTTGTCAACCATTTGTCCACACACACATGAAATAAAAAAAAGATAAAATCCTTAACCAAAGTTTTTGTTTCAGCAGGTAAAACACGTGGGGATGGGATTTCAGAAGTTAAGACTAAGGATTGGAATTAAATTCAATTAACACCCTTTACATTAAAAAACAAGATGTGTTTGTGAAACACTATGCGTCCGGCGGCAACAAAGTTCGAAAAAAGCTATTTTTAGCATATAAGTCACAGTCAAGGTCACAATGATTAGTAGAATATGCATACCAAATATGAAGTCTCTATCTTTCATGGTCCAAAAGTTATGGCGAAGGTTAAAGTTTGCAGAAAAAACTATTTTTAGCATATAGGCCACAGTCAAGGTCACAAGGTCATTGACCTTGGTGTCATTTGAAAGAGCTTATTTAGTAGTGTATGCATACCAAATATGAAGTCTCTATCTTTCATGGTTCAAAAGTTATGGCGAAGGTTAAAGTTTGCAGACAAACAAACAAACAGACAGACAGACAGACAGGACAAAAACAATATACGCCTCGGATCTATCGATCCGGGCGCATAAAAACTACAAACACCTACTAGTATTTATTTCACTATGTAATTCTAACCGAAATGTTTCCGAAAAATTCATTCTAATTGAAAATCTAAACATTAGAGGTTCTGTACTACAGAGTTTTAAAAGTATTGTAAATCAGATGTATATTCTAAAATACTCCAAAGAACCTAAAGAAAATTTGAAAGTCCATCTTTTTTCCAAATATAATAGCATTAAAATGTTCGGCTTTCCTAAACTGTATACAATGGTTACCATTAAAAAAAAAACCTAAAATATTTTAAACCAGAAACAATTACGTATTAAAAAAGACCTCGTAAATTTTGGTATCTTGCGGTTGGTTTTCAACAAAATTTGTTTAAAATCACTCTGATTCCACGAAAAAGAAGTTGATAAATAAAGGATGATTTTGGTTCTCATTGAAACATAATGTCTTTCAACAAACTTAATGCAGACAGCCACTTACTGTGCTACTTTTTTTAAATTCCAGCCGTCTTTAACAAATATTTCTATGAAACAAAATTTATTAAAAACTACATGAGCAGATGAAAACACTTGACATTCATTTCGACACTCAGATATATTGGCGATGTTTATTTAACTAAGGTTACTTTCGTATATCAATTCGATTTATCCCAGTGAACTCAAAATAGAACGAGATATCACAGAATCTACTCCATCTGCTTCATATGTGGATGTTTTACTGACTAAAGACGAAAAGAGACCAACTAAATGAGATGTCTTTTAGTTTCTCCTTCTTTCAAAGTCTCCCAATTTATTCGATTGATTGTAAGTTGTTTTACAATTTTTCGAGAATTTATCAGTCATATTAAAAGGTCACCATACATGTAAACCGGTGAAGGTCTTCTAATTTAGATGAACTTCTTAGCTACCCAAGAGCATGGTCAAGTTTTAAACCAAGGAAGGATGCTGACAGATAAGTAAAGCTGATAAACAGGAATTCCAACATCCGAAAAGTCGGCATTTCTGAGTCTATATTTATTGTAATAATCTTGTTAAGAAATATAACCTTTCATTGAGTCGTATTTTGATTAACAAGTTTCTTACCATGCTGTCTTTGGAATTGGGGGTTGGAGGGTTGGCAATATATAGAATACTACAGAAAACTTATTAGGTGTCTTTATAAAACAGATTTTGATCACCTACCTGATCAATACATAGGGCTCGCGGAGGGTGTTAACATTCAACAGGGGATGCTTACCCCTTCTAGACACATGATTCAACCTATGGACCTTCAGAGTCCGTGAAATTTTTAATTTAAGTCAACAAAAGGAATAATGAAACATATGGAGATAACGAACAGTGTTCAAAGTCATTAGAACAATACAAAATAGGAGCATCGAAGGCGGGATAAAACATATTACATAAAATATTAAAGTACACAATCACAAAAATGTAGATCTGTTAATGAAAATGTTTCTATTCGGTGTAATAATTTCTATTTTACACG